CCTTAGCTGTTCCCCCTTTCTGGGGTGGCTTACCAGGTAGGGCACATCAGTAGGGAACATTCATATTACTGGGAGAGCAAAGGGATATCGATTTGTGTCTGAGGAATACACAGGGTGAAGCAAAGGGGAAAGCCACTGGAAACTGTTAAATATAGCCAGAGCAAGGTGAGCAAAAATCTGACCGAGAGGGGGAGAAAAACTATCAGGAGAGGTCAAGAGCTGACATCTCATGACTGCAATTGAATGCTGTGAAGAAGAGAGCATGTGGGCACACAGAGATAGTAGCTAAATAGAGGTAATGGAAACCAAGGTGATAAATGCGTGTTTCACAGAAATGTTCAGAGGCTGGTGCAGGAGCACAAAAGAGCTCTAATTTCAAGGGGCAGACCTCATCTGCCAACCTCAGACACTTGAGAAATGATAAAGCAAGCCTCAAAATCATGAGATTTTAAAAAAAAACCCACCATAAATCTGTGTTTCCTTTTTCTTTGCTGCCTGGCTTCAGGGTTTGTGTTTGCTGATGCTTTTCCTGCTATCAGAAGAGTTTGGTCATCTTGCACCAGATTTAAGGGATCAGCTCAGCTTAACAATGAAAATGGAGAGTCTTCTAGATTCAAATGACTCCAGGAGCTAGGCTTTGCAGAACAGCCAGTATCTTGAAAACTGGTAAAAAAATCACAAGAACTAGTCATGTGCCTCATTTCAATTTTTTCCCCTCAGTTTTCAGTAATTCATAGACAAAGTTAAACAGAGTTCTTTCTATGGTATTAAGATTTTCTTAATATTAGGGCATGTGCAGAAGTAGTAACCACAAAAAAAAAAACTGCAATTGTTTTGTAAAATGACTGAATAATAAAGGCAGCATTTTACATAAATGACTGTTAATATTTGTTCAGTAAATTAAAGCTTGGGAAGCTGACCTGCTAGTAACAGTCAAGGACACAATGGGCATATCTAAATGTGCTAATAATTCACATTAGGCTTACTGTACAGTAAAATATGTACTGTGCAGTTAATGCCCTGCATGTGTAGACAGTGATGCTTTACTGTGCAGTAGATTAGACTGCTGTGCAGTAAATTATCTCAGTTAGACGCACCCACTGAGAATGTGACTGCAGCATTTTGACACAATCAGCTGATTTGTTTTACTGTTGCTGATGCTAAAAACCCTTCAGTAAAGTAATAATTCCAAACTGATTTGTTTGACACAAGATAAATAGTAAGATAAGATATTATTTTTATACTAGATAAAAGTATCTTCATAGAGGCCGGAATAGGACTTTGCAAATTGACCTACGTTCTCTGAAAAGTTTTGGCACTTGTACGAATAAGTTGCAGAGACTAGTATTCCAGTTAGCAAGCAAGAGTGCTTCAGTTCACTTTGTGTGTTGTTTTACTGCTGCTTTTCTGGTGGTACCTATAATTACTTTAGTTTCATGAATTCACTGACCAACCAACCCCAGAAGCAATGCTTGATATAAAATAAATTTTGTTTAGTGTCGGGGCTAGCATGCTATACTCTTGCATGTGCCAAGTAGAAACTTGCTCAGTGGGTGCATCTACAAGTGCATACAGGCGCTGTAGTTATGGCACATTAAATTGAGTACCTGTAATAACAGGTACTAACTGAACATGCAGTAATTAGCACTACTGTGCAGTAGCACCAGCACATGCCTTTTTAGTGAGGCTAATGCACAGCAGACTAATTCTACTGTGCATTAGTGCGATAGCACAGCTTTTGCTATGATGTGTTAGTGCACAGTAGAATTAGTCGTCTGCACATATGAGTCTCATGTAGGCATGCCCACTTAGTAGAGAAGGTTGAAGTACTTCATGCAAGAATTCCTCCCTCTTCCCCCCCACTGCAGAAATTATAGTTTTATTGAAATTTGCAAACAAATTTTTTTTAATTTTTTTTCCAATTGAGAGAGACTGGGGGGTGGGGGGTGGGAGGGATCAATTAGACATTTTGAACAAATGATTTTTTTTCCCTTTATGAAATGTCAAATCAAAACAGTTCAGAATCTCCTGTGCTAGGATTTCTTGCCTGATCCTTTGAATCTCTTTTCCAATTCCGAATGGAAATGGATTGCTCAAGTGTCCACACTGCCATTTTCCCGCATTGGTGAACATTCCCAGTGTGACGAATGAAAAGTGATGCATCCCTCATTCTTGCAAATCCATATTAACACAGCTCTATTCACACCTTCACTTAAGACCATGGTTTTCTATACTTCTATTGGAGTGTGTACAGATGTGGGGCTATCCTTTCCTGCTCCGCATTTGACCTTTGGGGTCAAAGCAACAGGAAGAGAGAAACCTTCATAGAAGAGGAGTGTCAGGAATGAATGGGAAGAGCCTTGGCCTCTCCCACCCAGCATATCAACTAGCAAAACTGAGTCATCTTGGAGAACAAGTGATCTCTGCTGATACATGTAGGTCAGTAGCAGATCAGTTCCACTTGAGAGCAAGAAAGGAACCATGAAGGGAAATGCAATTCTCCAAAGTCCCTCCTCAGTCCTGTACTGCTGGCTCAATACAATAGATTGCACGGGGGCAGTCTTTCCCTCAAGTAATTTAAGTTACCTAACATGTGTTTCATTCTTAGCCAGTTTTGTAATAAAGTACCATGCGCAGATACTCTACCTGCTTGACTAAGTGTTGTTTTGTTTTCTCTTGCATTTGATTTGCAAAAGATGTTTCAAGCCCGCTGAAGCTTCATCGAACAGACACTTTCCCCACCTACAGATCAGAGCACCGATAAAAGAGTGCAAAGCACTTAAAACTCTTTGTCTTGTGACAGACTGCCCCGGTGGATAATAATGATGATGGCAAGAAGGAAAGCAAAGTGGAATTACTGGGGGAAAAAAAATCAGCTTGGATTAAGAAGTCCTGCAATACAATATATTTTATTTTTTACTTTGGCAAAAGTGAAATCTGTCCTGCAGATCTTTAAAAAGGAAATGACTCCAATGTTTGTTTCATATTTTACATCTGAACAGAAAGGAAATCGACCCCTTAAATATGACTCGATGTTTTTGTATGATAGATATCAGTTGTAAATATATTAACTTGTCCTCTGATGTGGAGCACTGTGATTTCACTTTGTCTAGTTCAGCTGTGTGAGGTGATGTCAACTGTGTCAGCAATCCCATGGTTCATGTTTGGTGTAGCTCTTATTCTTTCTTTACTAACATAATTGTTCAGACCAATCCTTGACCTTTGAGAAATGGTGGCCAGTTTTATGCAGCAGTTAAATCTATTTTTCCTGTGTACGGAGTCTGTAGAAGACTTGGTTGACTTTTAAAGGACATTGTCAAGTGTCTTATTTTTCATATGTTTGCTTCCAGCTCTGGTGGCTAGAAATAAAACATTTTTTCTCACCATTTTTGTGGTTTCTCATGTGAATGCCAGCATTAGCAGTACAGTGATTTCAGAAAACTGTGTACGGCCATAGTCAATAATAAGTTAGCAGAAGGAAGTAAGTGGGAAAGTGGGTTATTTTGGGTCCCCTTGAAACAAAAGCAAGAAACCCTTATAATAGCTTAGAAGGTATGGTATTTTTTTTAGAGAAACAGAATAGGAATTTCCACAAGATTTCCTACTTGAGCTTCAAATAAATTTTGAAAATGGCCCCATTTTTGCCTCTTTACTGTACTTGACAGTGAGTCTTTTATGCTGCTTGCCTGGATATGATACCAGAATGTTAATTCTGACATACATTTTATGTAATGATTGGTGTGTGCAATCTGTATCAGATGGATTGGATAGCTTTATGGGTGTTAAATATGGAAGGAATCTTAAAAGTGGCTAGTTATGATTATCCTGGTATTGTACAAGTGAGGAATGTATAGATAGTGTGGGTTAAGAATAATTTTAAAAACTTTGCTAGAAGTCAGGGACAGGAGTGAAGCACTGAGATAGTCAAACTGATTTCACTGCGAATCTATTTACTTCTGTTCACTAAACTATGGACCAGAGCTTATTTAGGAGGAGATCTGGTTCTGATTCTCAATACAATATGCTGATATATGCACATAATTTGAAAAGAATATTAAGTAGTTCCTTGGTTAGTAGGATAAGCAACCCTATGATTGGCAGCTAATATTTTAAATTGTTACAAGGAGAAAGAGAGAGGACAAAATGTTTGTTACCTCTTTTAATATTATTGGTCATGACAGTTGGTAGATCCTCAAGGGTTGATTGTGATACTATCAGTATAACACACCTTTGTATGAATGTGTAACTCCATGAAACTCCATATTATGTCTTGGATTTTTGTTCCGTTTGAAACAAACCCTGTTCTCTTTCATGCAAATAACTGAATCCTTTTATAGCACATACAGTGGATTCAGGCAGAAGAACAATTCTACTCTGGTATAGAAAATGGTGTGTGTCTTTAGCTTGGACTCTGCTCAAAGTCACTTGTGAAATGTCCCATTCTTGTATCTCCAAGAAGCACTCACTGGAGTAGTGATAGATCCAGATGTGCCTGAGTCAGGTGGATTCAGCAGGTTTTATTTACGTATGATTACAGAGCTAGTGCTCTTTACTGTGGTATGTCATGAAATGTAAGATGGTGATATTCATAAAATCCATTTAAAAAAAAAAATCAAGTTACCCTAGAATGATGGTTTTATTTGAATTTTAAAACAGGAAGACCTAAAGCCATGGTGATTGTGGCTTCCCATATCTGTCAGAAGCCAGAGCTGTCTTTACTATTTGAAATCTGTTGGTTAAATAAAGAGTCTCTTCCTTCTAGACCTAGAAAGAGTTCTTTGTTTGCAAATCCAGAACCAAGGGTCCGTCAGATATTGATCCCCATCAGCCAGCTCTCACAAAAATGATCAAGTTTGGGTCCAGGTCTGTTTATAAATCATGGTAAGATGGAAGACATGGTTTGGGCTGGTCACAGGGTGGTAACAATCTGAGCATTGTCTTTCACAAATGCTAAACTTCTGAGAAATGAATTTGATGACTCTCCTATCTCATTGTGGAAATTGTGGACTCATCACTGCGGCATCTGTGCCCTTGTCTGTCTAGCCATGAGAGATGAATATTTTTCACTGAAAATTTTGTGTTCTAGGAAAATCCTGAAGTTTACAATATAGTAAAGGGAAGTGTGATCTCCTATAAGAAATCCAAGCACTTTTCTAAACAATTCAGATTTTAACCCATTTTCTCCCAATTGTCTATAATCCCATTCTTGGGATTTTTTTAAAATTTTATAATGCTTTAAAGTACCAAAATGTCCAAAGGCCACAATCAAGACTGTGAGGCTGTGACACTTAGTCTCACCTCAAAGGTTTTACAAGCTAGAACAACCCTAAGAAACTTTGAAGAAGAAGAAACAAGAATGACCTGCTGAAAGGAGACAGGGAGTGGGGCAGTAGTACCCCCCGCATCCCCTCTTTCCCCACCTTGATTCCTGCTCCACTCAAACTTTAAACAAAACTGTCTTGGAAGGGCAGTGGCAAGTCTATTCAGATAGTGCTGAGAATATCAAATCACTTCTTGGCTCATTACCATCCCCCTGATTCCTGTTAATCTCTCTCCACTCCACAAGTGTTAACAACCCTCTGTCCTTTTAAATGGTCTTGCTGTTTCATTATTTAAACTATCCTTTCTTCTGCAATTATGCTGCCTGTTAGCCATTCTGGGTAATGTGTGTCTTCTATTTTACAGCCCTGCAGACTGTTTTTAGCTGTAGCTAAAAACCTTAACTCAGGTGTGGTAATATTAACAGGTGTAGAAATGACTAAGTGAAGTATTGGAAGCACTATCAAGATGCTTAAGGAGGCTAGATTTTGTCTTATGATTCTGAATAAGGGATGTACATTTAACTATGATGACTTCAGGACTAATGATACAATATCCTTTTGCCTAGTTTGTTGCACTTTTAAAAAAAAGTTATATATCCTCTGGCAAATTAGTGTACATTCGAAAGGTTATATTTCTTTTTTTTGTTTTGATCTTAAATTGAATAATATAGTGCAAGCCCCTTACCAGATTTGTAAAGCTTCTAGTTTCTCTTTAGCTGGAGAAAAACGTGTTGTGTTATAAGTGATAATGTGCCACATCGGCTGCAGCCCCATTTTCAAAACCCTGGATCAGCCCGTGGAAAAGGATATAGATCCCATCCACTCCTTCCACCCCCCAGCTGGTGTCCTCAAACTCTTTATTATTCCATATACTCAGGGAAGTCACGAGTCTATGATAATAACATTTATATGTGTACAGAAATAATGGGAAGAGAAATGGTCTGTGAACTCCTACTGCAATCATCCTCATATAAAGCTTCACAATCTTGGCTTTAATTGTAGCAAGCTCCAATTCCATTTCCAGAGCATATGTTTCTGTAAAAGAAATTCAAAGAACAGCTTTGTCAGACTCAGGAGATGCATAGAAAGCCACATGCGCAGATTGCCAACGCCATTTATTTCATAAGGAAAACAGTGAAATGTCTGTGGAAAGGTATGTATTAAAAGCAACTGATGTTGTAAACAGACATTAAAGGAGCACGCTCTCACAATCCAAATGGCACGCATCCTCCTCCCATGCTCTGAAACACAGAATTTTATCCAGAAAGTAGAAAGCACTATGGCATTACAGTACTGCTGCCTGCTAACCCAGGGTTATGCACGTTTATAGTCAGTGCTGCAGATGAGAGAAGTGGTTTACACACACTCGAACAGTTTCCCTTCTATTAAAGCAAAGCATATGCTCAAACAGGAAACAATGTATTTAGGCAATGGTCCAGGATCTAAATGCAGGGATACCAATTCTGATCTCCCTGAAGCCTCTACCCAGTGTACAAAAGAAACGGTTCCCTGTTTCAACCAGGAGATGGAGCCTCTTTCCATCATGCAGGAGCAGGCCTGATACTCTGATGCATGACAAATTATCAGAAAAAGAAGTTGAGAGAGTTACTCCAACTCAGAGTAACATCAAGAACATTTGGAGAAGTGGAGCATTTTATATGAACTGATCTGCTTCAGATGAGGGTCAGAAAGTTTCACTTGTGCAGTGAAAGAAAAGAAACTGTATTTCAGACTTTGAGTGCTTAACATTTTGGAAAATTTGGGAAATGTTAGTAATAGTAGGTGTGATGCAATCCTGCAAACTCTTACTAAAGTGCATCAAACTTAGTAATGTGTATCTTTTATTTATCCTCTCATTGTTTCACTGCAGGACTAGGTGTCTAAATCATTTCTATCTGGAGTTTATCTCTATATCTTTCTTGAGCCTCAACTTTCCCAAGCACATATCATGTTTATAGTCATCCTTATTTAGGAAAAACCCCTTAAGGGCCTATGGCATACCAGTAGTTCATTTGATTTCACTGACACTTGAGTACAACATATCTACAATTAAGTACGTACTTAAAAATGAAGCCCTAATACTTCATTTTTGGAAAGGTGAATGTCTAGAACTAAAATAATATATAAGTGCCAAAGCTAGAGGAAAATATCAAATCGTGTGCTTTAATGTATTTTCCATAGAACCAAAGTCAGGGGGTTGTAATTTCTCTTTTAAACTAGAAGCCCATAAAACAAAACGAAGGCAAGGAAGGCGAACAAAAGAATAAGATTTAATGTGAGGTAATGAAGATAAAAGCACTGATATGAAGGAAGAAAAATGGAACCGGCTGGCTGTTGGAGGATCTCATTAATCCCACTGTTGTCAACATTTGTTTTGAGGCATATTAGCAAGTACCAACACAATTGGTTTGAGCAGAAATGAATCATTAGCTGCATGTTAAATCCCTTGGAGATTTCATCATATATCTGACAAAGGCATTATTTTTCAAATGTATATTGGCCTCTTCCATGCCTTGAGCCTATTCAGCTGAGGGGTTCATTTCATTCCAGCTCTAGCACTTAATCCCAGTGAAAGGACACAAGCTAACAACTGAACTGAAGTTCTCTGTCTGTAAATTATACGTGGCACAGGCTAATGCATTCTAAGATTGAGCAGGTATGGCTACAGTGCCCTGCGGTATACAGCATTGACATACCCCATGGCTGCTGTGCATTTGTTCTGCCTTCTGTGATGAAAGGAGGGAAGCAGAGTTGGTTCAGCTTTGATGCCAGTTCACTCCTCAGTGTTTTCATTGAGTCTCTCAGAGCACCTCTACATGAGATGTTTAATGTGTAGTAGCCTAATAACATTGCACAGCAGCATGCTGGGCAAAAACTGCGCTAATACACTACTGTGCAGTAGGGCTGTGCAAAATTTCACCGACCATTTCGTTTCAACACTATTTTGACCAATTTTGAGGTCGAAAGAGCAAAATCGAAACAAAAAAGCCCTCAAAATAGCCTCAAAACAAAACGAGGCTGGTTGAAACATTTCGAAAGTCGAAACGTTTCGACCATAGGCTGGGGATGGGAAGTCAGTTCAGCTGGGCTGACTTCCTATCCCCAGCACAGGATCCGGTAGGGGGCAGCGAGGCAGCCCAGCTGGCCTGTTTCCCCGGCCCCCACGCTAGACGGCACAATCTGGCGTGAGGGTCAGGGAACCAGTCCAGCCGGGCTGCCTCCCACCCCCAGCGCAATCTAACGCAGGGGTCAGAAAGTAGCCCAGCTGGTCTGACTCCCCATCCCCAGCGAAACTTGAAACAGCCTGTTTCAACAGAACAGAACGGAATAGCTGTTTCGACTCGAAATGAAATTTGAGATGAAACCATCAAAACTCAAGGCAAAATGGAACGGTGCCATTTCGCACAGCCCTACTGCGCAGTGGTATTAGGCTACCGTGCAGTAAGCATCACTAAAAAAACGTGCAATGGCGCTACTGCACAGTAACTCTAGTTATTCTGCATTTAGTTAGTACTTCATTAAGCAAGTACTAAACTAAATGCACAGTAACTACTGCATATTACTGAACGTGTAGATGCGCCCTCAGAATCTCCAAATGCAACCAGCCATCCATGTAGGGTATTGCAGGTTTTGCCCCATTGTTACCTGAAAATGTAACCGTTCATTGAAAATTTAGGCAGTATTCAGGTGCCAGGCACTAGTGAAATGTAAACTGTTATTATCTATCACCAAGAGCATTAAACTAGCAGAAATGAGAGAGAGAGGCTTTCAGAGAAGCAGCCCTCTATGAAAGACTGGAAATTTGTAAAATAGCGGTATGTACTTCTGAAGAGGGACATCAATAGCCCACCATTGTTTAAGCTACACCATTCAGTAACAAGATATTCCTAATTTATAGCAAACAAGGATTAGGTTCATTCCATTTCTAAACTGGACTGTGAACATAAATAAGTGATATTTGGGGCATGTTACGACTAATAGGTCTTTATCTTTCAGGTTTTTTTCCACTAATGTATTCCCTTGAGAGCTGACAGCATCTGTTGTTTTATCATGGATGTGACAGTTCAGTAAATGCTTTTTATTCAGCCTTCATTCATGCAGTGATTGATACATCAAGACTTTACCTATGGTTG